TTGGTAGTTAATTTTTTCTTTCTTTCTTTTTTTGAGACAGAATTTCACTATGTTATCGAGGACAATTTGAACTATTGGGTCGAAGTGATCTTCTTGCCTCAGCTCTGGAGTAGTTGTGATTACAGGCATGTACCACAATGCCTGACTTTATTTCTTAAATAAACAAGAATATAGGTTTCTGGGATGACTGAGAAGTCAAATTAGTTTCGTGCTTTTGCCTTGTTTTTGTGGACAGGGGTTTCTATTTCTTCTTAGCTGATTTCAGGGTCATGTTTGGCCTTCCTTTCATTTATTGCCTTCTGGTTAAGATTGTGTGGCTGTCACTTCCATAAATTGTCTGTTTTTTGGATTGTTGCTGTAGACTTGCTCTAGGTTAATGTCAGAAATTCTTATTGGTTGCTGAGTGATATTTTCTGATGCGACTTCTAACAACAGATATCTGTTTTGTTTCCCTAACATCAACCATTTCTCCAGTACCAACAGTTCAGTTCAATTTTGACATTAACTCCAGGAGTTAGTACAGACCCCGTATGTTCAAGGCTTAGTCCCACAAGACTGCCCCTGCTTCAGACACTTGCCACAAATGAGCCCCCAGGACCACACTTGTGTCTGGTCAACACACATTCAGGGTTTCCCATGATCCCCCTGGGGTTTGATAATTAGCTAAATTACTCCCAGAACACAGGAAAACACATGTTTCCTGATTTATTATAAAGGACATAACTCAAGAATGGCCAAATGGTAGAAATATGAGGGGCACAGAGTTTCCATGTCCTCCCAGAGCACCTCGCTTTCCTGGTAACTTCAAGTGTTCTGGAAGTTCATGGAATCTTATTTATTGTTCAAGAGTTTTAGTAGAGCTGAGAATGCAGTACCTCTTCCCTCTTGAGAGTCAAGGGCGGGGCTCAAACTTTCAACCCTCTAATGACAACCTATGTTTGGTTTTTCTGATAACCATCTCCATTCTGAAGTTATCTAGAGGTCCTACCCTGAGCCACCTCAATAGCATAAAGTTAGGAAATTGCAAGGGTTTTAGGAACTTCATATTATAAATGGTGAATGAAGACCAAGTATATTTTTTATTATACCACAGTTCCAAAATGGGATATTAAAATTGTGATTAGGCGTTATTTCCCTGGATTATTCTTTTGTCTTTGATGTTATATCATATTCTGCCTTCTTCACAAACATTATATGGACCTGGGTTTTCTGATCTGGATTTTTAGATAATGTTACATAGTTAGGATGAGAGAGTAATTGAGATTTAGGGATATTTTGAAACTTGAGACATTTATTTTAAAGCATTTGTGGTTTTGAGATTGTTTATAGTTAAAAAGTGAAATATGACTGCAAAGGCTAGGATATTCTGCTTGATGGCTGATATTAATGAAGGCAATAAAACTGGTACAGAGTACTTTGTGTTTATACTGAAGGAATAAGCCGAAAGAAATAGCCTTCTTGACTTAGTGAGGGAAATATTTGTGTAAATTCTGAGAGAAGACGGAGGTCAAATAACCTCAGCTGGAGTGGCTGGAAACCAGAAACTCAGCCTGGCCTCCTCCTATATTGTCTTTTTTTTTTTCCCCCTGAACAAAATTCTTTCCATAGAGCTAAGTAGTGTTAGAGCCGTGGAAAAATATTTTCCTTTTTCTGAGAAGTGAGGAGTTTTGCTGTGATTCTGTGATTCTGTGAGTGTGCAGAAAGAAAGGCCCCATGTGCTGACTGTGTATTCACCGTGTACTCACCATTTTCTTCATTCCCTCACAAATAGCAGTATCCTATTTGGTGATTCTCTCCATTCTTCAATCTAAAAGAAAAAATAATCTATTTGAATAATTTTGAAAATTTAAAATGTAGGATTCATTAAAGAAAACTTGAAAAGTACACACCAAGAAAAGGAAAAGGTTATTTGCAGTTATATCAAAACCATTGCTAACATTTAGGTGTCAGTATCATGAAAAATGTTTTCTTTTTTCTGGAAAGTTATGTATAATATCACCCCCCCCATTTAATAGCATCACACAAGCATTGTTTTGTTGTTGTTTGTGTTAGTTCATTTTTTGTTGTTGTGACAAAATACCTGAGATAATCGATTTGAAGGAAGCAAGATTTATTTTGGCCTATGGTTTCAGTCCATGGTTGCTTGGCCTTTTTGCTTTGGGCCTGTGGTGAGCAGCACATCATGGTGGGAGCGGGTGGAGAAGGAAGTCTATTTACCTCTTGGCAGCCAGGAAGCAAAGGGAGTGGGTGCTGATAGTGCCAAGGTCGCGGGTTCGTTCCCGTACGGGCCAACAAATGCCGCAGTCTGGCTGGGCACAATTCATGAGCCACTTGTCAAGCAGGAAAGAACTTTATTTTTAGAATGCACACCTCACCACACGAGCTCTCCAGGAATTCCCTCAGAGCCCAACTGCCACCACTGGCTCTTCCAGCCAGCCTCTCAACCCCCACTCCTTCCCCTCTTGAGGCCAATTGGCTGGGTCTCGTGGGCGGAGCCAAAAGCGTCCCCCAATGAGCAGCTCTGTGGTCTGAAAGGGCGGGGAAACAGCCCAATGAGCATCACCACAGAGGAGCCAATCAGCTGGAAGTTTGCTGGGGCCGCTTCGGCTGTGGCTCTCAACAAGTGTGAAAGGGTGTGGGGTTCCGACATCCCCTTCAATATCCCCAATAACCTAATCCTTCCCTTTAAGCCTCATTTCCTACAGGTTCCACCACCTCTCAACAATGCCACAGGCTGGAGACCAACTTTTAATACATGGACCTTTAGGAGACATTTAAGATCCAAACTGTAACATTGTTGATATATAATTGTCCTAAGATCACAGAAGCAGTATAATGTAGTGGTTTAAAGTCAAAGCTCTGATACTGAAGTATCTGGGCATAACTTGAGAAGGTTACTTAAGTGCTACTTGCCTTAGTTTTACATTTGTCAAATGGGATGATAATGGCAACACACTCCTAAGTAAAAAGCTATGTAAATGTTACACTTAAATGATAGTTATTATCACTGAAATAAAGATTTTATTACCATAAATATACTTACAAAGTTGAAATTTTTATAACATACAGAAAAGCAGGAGAAATAAAAATCACCCATTATTGTAAAATTCAGAGAGAAACAGTTAAGATTTTGGAGTTTCTTTTTTCAGTGCATTTTCTTTTACACAGTTGAGATAATATTGCATTTCCATTTGTATCCTTATCATAAGCATTTTATATACTCTGTAAACATAATTTTAAAATATTACATGAATCATCTCATCATCATTACTTGACCTTTCCCCCAATATTTTGACATTTAGATCACTCTTTGCCCCCCTGTTAAACTGAGATAATTATAGATTAACCTCAGTTAAAACAACCAGGGACCAGAATTGTGCCTGACCAGAGTGGAGCCTGCAGTGGTTCTTTTAGTCCCAAGATGTAACGAGGTCTAATCCTCAAATCAGTTAACAGAAGGTTGACCATATTATAAATAAGTAAGAAATATTTTTATAACAGTTTTTATTCATTAGAATTAGAGATTATTTTCTTAGACTAGATCCCCAGGATCAGAAATACAGGGTCAAGGGATAATAAATGTTATTTTTTTGAAGATCATACTGATTTTAGATGTACAGCAACAGTATATGAACCTGGCCCAATTTCTGGGGATCTCCAAATACTCCTCCCTCCATGCCTTCCTGCCCCAGCTCTGGGTCACTTCTTGGATCTGAAATATTGAGGAATAGTTGGCATCAGGGGTGCCCCAACTCTGAACTAGAGTTAATTCTAATTTAAATTAGCACCTTTGACTCCTCCTCGTTACCCCTCCTCTTTCTTCCTCCCTAGCCCTTTCTTTGCTTCCTCTAATCCTCTTATACAGCTTTCCTCTTCTCCCATCAGAGAGGATATGATGGAATTAAGTCATGGCCATTAAGAAGTTAGTGACCTCAGCAGCCAGAATCATTGTTCCTCAGTGGGGTATTTGCATTTTAATAAAGGGTTCAGGAAGTAGTGTTGAACTCAAATGACTGAACATAATGTTGACATTTGGGCACCCAGAGAGGGTGATGTCTTGGGTTATACAAATTATGCCAGTCTGTGGTATCCTAGATGTAGGCCAGTGCTGTGGATAGGGTGAAGTGAAGGCCAATCTCTGAGAAGCCTCAATTTCCTCTTCGCCAAAGCATTTACTTCAGAATAGAAATATGTTTGCCTAAAGGTAAAATGGGTCTCTCAGAGGAACTATTAAGGAGAAATTGTTTACTGAATTGGATATAATAAAAGACTGGTCAGCAGCATGTGCAGACTCTTTACATAAAATATAACTTTATGATACCAGGCAGGGCTCCTTTTATGGCTTTTTTTTTTATCATCTGGTTGAAATTGCTAAAGGCGTGGAGGACTTTTGCTTGTGCATCTGTAGCCAGTGATTTGATTAAATTGCGTGTCCCTGGGCAAGCAGAGCCAGGAGGTCTCTGCATGGGGCCGAGGAGGCTCTGATTAGCATGCTCAGACCTCTGAGTGGCAGAAGGTGGGTTAATTGATGGACTATTTCTACTTCAGCAAGGTCACAGTTATCTTTTAAGGCAAGGAGTACTGCAGTTCTCTATTTGTGGACTTTCACATTTGTTTTAATGGATTGAAAAGTCAAAGAAAGAGTGTGTGAGAAGAAAATGGGAGGCACATGGACACAATGAGGTAAACTCTAGTTTTTACAGATGATCAAGGATGGGTAGAGACAAGTTCTTAGGAAGCTCTTAGAGGGCAGGTCCTACCGTGTGCAACCACAGCCCTAGTTGGTCTGAAAGTAGGAGGAAGGGGAGACAGGAAAGCTTAGTCAATTGTCTGTTTTCAGCCATGTGACCTTGGAGGCTTCAGAACCCCAGTCAGCAGGGAAAGTGGTCTCGAGAGGAGATGGTGGGTATCAGTGGGGGCTGGCCAGACATCAGCCTCCCCTTGCTCTATTCCAGAGTGGTCCTTCTTTGGCCATCACCAATTCATCTCTTTTCTTCTAGCCTGATCCAGCCTGATGATGGCCCCACTGGTCACTGTGGTGTCCAGCCCCCGTGCCCGGCTCTTTGCCTGCTTCCTCAGGCTAGGCACTCAGCAGACTGGCTCCCTCCAGCTGCATACAGGAGCCAGCTGTGCATCCAAGAACCACTATGAGGTGCTGGTACTAGGTGGGGGCAGTGGTGGGATCACCATGGCTGCCCGCATGAAGAGGAAAGTGGGTGCAGAGAATGTAGCCATCGTGGAGCCCAGCGAGGTAAGTCTCCCCTTTTGAGTACACCAGTGTGTGTGTGTGTGTGTGTGTGTGTGTGTGTGTGTGTGTTAGGGATGCGGGTGCGACTGTCAGGTACAGGTTTGCATGTCTTCACGTTAGGCTGCTTTTTTATAACCAGGAGGAGAAATACTATCTGAAAAGATTAGGGGAAAGTGGAGGGAGGGAGAGAATGAGGACAGATCTCTTGGCTTTTTGTGTTCCTTAGGGTTGCCATAACAAATGAGTACAAACCAATTGGCTCACACAGCAGATATGTATTATCTCACAGCTCGCAGAAGTCTCAGACCAAATTATTGACAGAGTCACACTCCCTCTGAAGGCTGGGTGAGGGACCCAGGCAGGGGAATTCATCCCATGCTTCCCTCCCAGCTTCTGGTGGTTGGTGATAGTTCTTACCACTCTGTGGTTTGTAGATGCACCACTCCATTCTCTTCCTTACCTTCACATGATGTTCTCTGTGTCTCTGTGTCCCTGTGTCTTTACAGCTTGTATTTTTGTTGTTCTTTCTTTTGTCTATTCAAGTATGACCTCACCTTAATGTGATTACATCTGTGAGAATTCTATTTCCAAATAAGGTCATGTTCACTGGAACTGGGATTAGGACTTGAACGTATCTTTTTGGGAGACACAATTCAACCCATGATACCCTCCTACTCCAATTCACTGTTCAGAGGAAAATCAATTGCCATTGTACTTTTCTATCTCTGTTGCAGTCTGGAGAAGGGATAGTGATTTGAGGGGCAGGGAGGCCCCTGGAAAGCTGTCAATGGGTTTGAGAAATTTAAGTGTAAGTGGATTATAAACAGATTATAAGGGAGAGAAGGAAGTCGATATTATGAAGGAAGATCAAGTGAGGCAATGTTCCATGAAAAACATTTTAAGATTGTACAAAAACTTCAGAAAAATATTCAAAAATTTTGGCTGTTTGCACAACATTTCCCAAGGAACTGAGTATGCACCAGCTGGAATCTCTCTGTTCTTGGGAGAAAAAAAACAACATGAGTCCATGACCTGGTTTGACAGGGAGGGTAGGATGGAAAGACATACTTCTTAAGATGTCTCCCTAACCAGAAATAAAGCTATCCAGACCCATAATGGGAGAGAATACTTTGGAGTACTCTCTGCCACTTTCACTTTTAAAGTGACTTCAGTTAGGGACACCACTCCTAGTGACAGTAGCCTGGAAACTGTATCAGGTGGCTGTTCTCCGGTGCATGCTCTATTGTGGCTAATCCATGGATGGTCTCCCACTGGCTTCTCTTTGTAATTAGACTGGCTCTTCTGGGGACTGGACACACTCAGAACCCAGAATCATGTCTGTCCTGTCTCTCAAGGAAGTACAGTGCAGGAGCCTCTTGACGAAGCTGCCGGGAGTTTGGCTTTTAGCACCTTCCCTTCTGTGTCTGATTGAGTGATTGCTAGAGCTGATGTTTGTGGTCTAAAAAAATCTGAGCTTGTATTTTTGTTGTTTTTTTCTGTTCATGATGGACTTGAAATTGATGCATTCTCATATTTGGAGACCTCTGTCCTCCTTCTCCTTCATCATACTCATTGCTGGCTATAGGGAGATTGCAAATCATTCTGTGTCCTCTTCACCTCCCTGTGGGTTTTGGCTGCTCTGGCCAGCCAGTCTGAAGTACTTTAGAATACTAAGAACTCTTTGTCCCCTTATCCACCCTATGAATGCATCCTCAGAAGCCATTAAATCAATCTGCCCTTTGCCCCTGAATCTAGAACTTTCACAACTAACTTATAGCAAGACTGGACCATCTGAAACAAAAGGACTCCAGAAAATGGTGAAAATTTGGGCAGGCAGTGTACTGTGGGATAGGATTTGGCACCTATTGACTTTGAGTGGCTAATGTGAAGTGTCTGCAGTACTCCATGGGCTTGGGTAACGTAGTTTGAAGTTAGTGAAGTTTCAAGGCTCCCCAGAAGTGGCCCAGACTTAGCATTGTCTCTATATACTTCTCAGGAAGGATGTAAAGGCTTAATTTTTCTTTACATTTGTGCACATAAATATATTCATAATGTGTGTTCATATATATGTGTATATATACATATACATACATATATATGTATAATATATATATTATACATGTATTTTATATATATATATATATATATATATATATATATATATACATACACACACATGTATAATATATATAAAACACCAAGTCAAATTTTGGCAATGAATAATACAGTGGTCATTAAAGTTAGCTTATGCCTTTTTTATGATCTTGGGTTAATTTTTGGGTTGGGTGGTTATCCTTCAGAGTTTAACATAATAGAATATAGAAACAGGGCAGAACTTTCTGGACTATGAAATTTACTTTTTAAAAAAATACAGTGCTCTAACAATCAGGAGGGAGTAATTGAGAAAGTCTAGTTCAAACACTTTTAACTAAGACCCTTTAGGTCAGGCTCAAATTGAAATAACTCTCCAAATGCTTTGTTTCTCAGAGACATTTCTATCAGCCAATTTGGACACTGGTGGGTGCTGGTGCCAAACAATTGTCCTTCTCTGGTCGTCCTACAGCAAGTGTGATTCCATCTGGTGTAGAGTGGATCAAAGCTAGAGTTGTTGAGCTGAACCCAGATAAGAACTGTGTCCACACTGACAATGGCAAGGAGGTAACCTTCTGGGATCTTTGGATTATTTTATTAACCTGGTGTCTTGTATTGGTGCACAACCATTCTCAAACTGGACAGTTTTCTGGTGAAACAGTGGCATATGTGTGCGTGTATGCAGGTATGTATGAGTGTTAAACACTGCACAAGATGGTAAGATGCATGACAAATGGAAAACAGATGGAGGGACTTACTGGTGTTAAATTAATAAATAAACTACCAAGACAAGTATTTGTTGAACATCTGCTGTGTACCCTATTGCTTAGTATAGCATCTTGCATCTGAGTGCTTATTGGACAAATGCTATTGCTACATGTTAAAAGGACAGGCATCTCTTTCCTTTGGAAGCAGTTGTGTTTTTTACTTGACACCTGGCCTCCCAGAGGAAAGGGATGTAGGGAAATAGTCATTCCATGAACGTGTTGCCAGGGGAGTCCTGCCTGCTGCCAGAGCTGGAGACTCACAATCACTCAGCCCCAGGGATGTGGCTCAAGCGGTAGCGCGCTTGCCTGACATGCGTGCGGCCCGGGTTCGATCCTCAGCACCACATACCAACAAAGATGTTGTGTCCACCGAGAACTAAACAATAAAACATTAAAAATTCTCTCTCTCTCTCTCTCTCTCTCTCTCTCTCTCTCTCTCTCTCTCCTCTCTCACTCTCTCTTTAAAAAAACAAAAAAACAAAAAAACAATCACTCAGCCCCATTTAGAAATCTCTTCCTTTGCCCACCACTCAGGAGTCAAAACTTTTCAGCAACTGCTGCTGAAGAGGGTAGTGAGATTACAGGTGTCGAATCCATCTACAACTTCATGTCTGTTATTCGCTGCTGAGCCCAGGATGCTCTCTTCCAGTCTCCTGGGGTCTTTGGGCTCCTAGGATGTTGTCGACCTTCATATCTGTACCTTCTCCCTTCAAATTGGGGTCTGGCACGTTTGGAGTTGTAGAATCTAAGAGCTGGTGAGAATCTGAAAGGTTTTGAGTCCAACTCCCCCTTCTTAGCAAGGATTCATTTGCTATACATGTTCTTAAGCTTTTCTTGGGCCATGCATAAATCTTTCTGAGTGCCTTATGAAAACCCTTGCTAGAAAAACACATGTGTACCATAGTTTGCGTTTAATTTCAACAAGTTCAGAAATTCTCTGGAGCCTTTCCTTGAACCTTGATTAGGAGTAGCTACCTTATGGCATTTATGATCCAAGGCTCTCTCGTTTCCATTCATCACTCTACAAATATTTATTAAACACACCTACAAGAGGCTAGGCACAGTTTTGGGCATTAGGAATACATGAGTGGCCAAAAAGACAAAAAATCCTGACTATCCTGGATTTTTTATCCTAGTGTAGGGAGGACATAATAAATAAATATAATGAATAATAGACAAAATAAGCAAATTATATACTATGTTAGAATGTGTTGAGCATTACTGAAAAAAAAATGGAGTTGAGTTATTAGATTGAAGCCCATGGGAGTGGGGGTTGAATTTAAAACAAAAGAACCTCTTGGTGCCTTTAGGCAGGCAGATTTTAGAAAGTTCTGCTCTTGCCAGATCAGAATCTACCTTCCTTTAATCTTTTCCTTATTTTTTCTTGGGCCTGCATGGTATTATTGTTCTTAATATTTTACTACCTTTATAATCCCTTTCTTACTCCTTGGTGTGCCCACTAGTGTGTAAGAAAAAGCTTCTTTCTTTTCTGTGCAGAAACCCTTCAACTCTGTTAAGATGGCTCTTATATTCTGTGTGAGTTTTTTTTTTTCTGCAGGTAGACTTCTCTCCTGTCCTCATGTCCCTTGACTCTTCCTTACCTTTCATGGTTTCTGGTCCCCTCATTCCCCTCTTTATCCTCCTTGGGACATCATCTGGCTTGTTAATGGCCCTGTGAACCAGGAGTCTAGATGAGAAGGAAACTCCACAGAACAGCCCAGAATGGAGTGGGATTGTTCTCTCCCACAATCAGATGCTGCCTAAGCTGCCTTTGCCCTTTCAGTGACAGTCACCACAGTGCTGATTCATGCTGAGCTTGAGGCTGGTTCACATCTCTGGGTCTTTTTCATGTGACCCACTGTCAAGTCAGGCCTCTCATGCCCTGGAAGAGTGCACTTGTCATTAATTTTACTTAAAAACAGGCATATATATATATATATATATAAAATAAGTAAATATGTGCACGTATTTTTTAGTTAAAAATTTAAATGTATACAAAATTTAAATGTATAAAAATATTTTCCCCTGTCAATGGTTGAGAACTTCTTTATTTTCCTGTCACCAGGAGGCCAGACTGAATTCTTTTTAGTTCACAAGATTGAGCTCAGTCACTGGTTTACCTTGCCAATCTCCTGTTCACAGGGGGCTCCTCTTGTGTAACACATGTCGCCCTTGGTCCAGCAGAACGTGCCTCATTGAATAAACCCCTCAACAACCTCTGTGGTTGGACTCACATTCCTCTTAGGACCATGAACTTGTCTTATCTCTTAAGATTGAGAGCACTTGTCAGCTTTCTCATGGCTGTGCCCTACTCATTACTCCCAAGGTTCAGGCACTTAGGAAAGTTGTAGGGTCTTGGTTTAAGGTTGGGGAAGAAGGTGGTGCAATGTGGTGAAACTTTTCTTTCAGGATTTTATTAAGCAAAAGTATTTCATAGATAGACGGTCTCAGAAGTCATCATATAGCATCTCGTGTGAGATATCATCTTCTTGTTTGAGTTCATCCTCCCAACCGGTTGGGATCTTTTGGATTTATGAATCTGTCACCCAATTAGCAAATTTTCCTAGCTGTTATCCACAGATGGCTTCATTTGAAGTTTTAATTTTATAATATATCCTTAGAGAACTTATTTTAGATTGCATAAATTAATCAGCATTCTTTAGCAAGTATTATTCAATTTACCAGTCATTCCATTCTTAGTTTACACTTTTCTTATCTTAGCCACTAGGTGAAAGACTGAATTGAAGGAACCATGGAAACCAGACTCTGTATCTCTGACTCTTCCCCCACACAGTAATTTATTTGGAACAGTTCCTATAAGCACAGTAGTAGACTTGTTCCTTCTCTGGACTTTACCTGGTTTTATTCTCTACATTGTTCTCTACATTGTTCCTGCTGCACTGGCCTCTCATTTCCTCAAATGTCTTTTCCTCCTCTACCCCTAGCTGACACCTACTCAGCTTTATCTTAGAAATGACCCCTTTGGGCAAGCCTTCCTTGACATATCATACTGGGTCAAGGTTCCTCTTATTGTGCTATCACAGCATTCTATGATTTAGTAATTATCTGATAACTTTCTTTTTCCCACTAGACTTCTCTTTCCCTGGAGGGCAGATACTGTGTCTGATGTATTAGTCATTGTACACTCAGGACCTAGCATGCTATTTGGCACATGGAAGGTGCTCAGTAAATACTTGTGAGTAAATAGTGTTTCTGTTTATTTATAAAATGGAAATAGTAATATCTACCTTACTGGCTTACTATCAGCTTTGAAAATATGAATATTCTTCGAATGGAAACATGGAAAGCACTTAGAACAGTATCAAGCACAGGGGAAATGCTCAAGGACTTTTATTATTTTTAAAAAGAATACAAGAAAAGAAGGAAAAGGAAATATTTCCTGCGTGTGCACTGTATGCAGCACAGTCTTGAATGCTGACTGAAAGCAGGTGGATCATCTCTGAGCACTTGTCGGTGCTCTTCTTTTTCTAAATTACCATGTGGCATTTATTTAGTAGATGAACTTGGAATTCTTCAAGGGATTAGCAGTCTAATTTACTAAATTCTCAGTGTCAGGATTGTCCTCCCCCAGTCCTGAATGAGGTGAGTATAGTTATCCATATTCAGCCTTCTAGTGAGGTCCAAACTGTTCTCTGTAATTGCTCCAAAGTCTTGACTGCCAGATTTTGCAATCCTTAGGGTTTAGGTCATCTGGCCCAGAAACTTGAACTCATTCAAAAGACTTAAAGCTTTTATTTAATTTATTTTTTTGTTCTCTTACTGTCCAGGGCTTATTCTCCTTAATGATTCCACATCTGCCTGCTCCCCCATAATCTCAAGGTTGTCTGTTCATAGTCCTTGTAAATAATCACTGTTACACTCTAATAAATTTATGAAAGTGTGCACAGTTGACAGTGTTCCTATATTTCATCTTTAGGTTATCAACCCCAGATCCCAGGCCACCTCTCACCTCACATGCCCTGATGACGTCACACAGTTCAGTCAGCCGTTCAATGGGCCTCTTTAGAATTAAGGAGTTCAAGGCACCAGTTGTCTATGGATAGGAAGAGCATATGAATGAAGATAATTATATCACCTGTCTACTTTGATAAATTGTAATTTGTACAAGCAACTTAAATCATCCATTCATCTATCTAATAAACATTACTGAGTTCCTCACTTTAATTTAGTGACCCTGCTAGATTCTAGGAAGACATGGAATAGGAAGTAAACTTTCATCTTCTACAAGTGTTCCATGTAGTGGGAAGGGGAGAACTCCTGTGTTTCAAAGTGAGTACTATAACATCTGGCATACCGCACTAAGGGAACCCCAGGAGGGTCTGGGGTCTGGTGGCAAGGGTGACTAAGTCATAGGAAAGCTTGGTGACCTCAGAGCTGAGTCTCCTGGATTCCAGGGCAGGACATTTCAGCCACTTTTCCCCTTTGGTTTTCCAGATGAACCTGAGCATTTTTAAACCTTGGTGTCCTCTTTCTTTATCCAGGCATTCCCTCAGCCTTCCAACTTTGCTTCTCCATTTGGTATGAGATCATGGCCATCATACCCCATTTCTCCTTGCTGGGCTCCTGAGTCCAGTTTAATCATTCTCCAACTCTGGTGTTTTGGTGTTCTTATACTTTTCACCCTATTTACATACTTTTTGGGCAAACTTTTTTTTTTTCCTGATCCTAAAAACCTGCATTTTCATCATAATGTTTATGTATATTATTATCTTCCTAATGAATAATCACAACATCTCCATCTGAAGAGGGGACTTTTTCATATGCAGATCATTAAGTAAAAACAAATACACTGTATCACATCCTTTTCAATGGTTCTCAAAATAGCAGTTTACCAATTATGATATTGGTCCAATTCATATCTTTAGATTTAAATAAAGTTGATTAGGAACTCATTCTCTCACCCCTAAATATAAAAAAAGCATCAATACAAGCATTGCACAAATAAGTGTAGCATTTATTATTTTTCAATTGTGTAAAACCTAGGTGGGCTTTCAGAGGTCAGGCAGGTTACGTAGTATTTGTAAAGCAGTCAGGTGAGAGGCCATAGATAAGGGGCAGGATGGCCAGTCAGAGTGAGCATCCCTCCCTGCCATTCCTACCCACTGCCCTCTGCCCCAAGACATTCATAGTGACAAATGGAAACATAGTTCTGACCACACACATCTGGGGCCAGAGTCATTTGTTGGGCTGCTGCTTTTTGAGGCCTGGTCTAAAATAACATCTTTTTGTGTTGCAGATCTTCTACAAATATCTTATTATTGCTCTTGGAATCCAGCTGGACTATGAGAAGGTACTGTTTGAAATTGTTCCCGTGTTACAGTGGCCTACTTATGCCAAGATCAAACACTGCATTGAGTTGCTTTGTATTTTTTAACAAGAAAGAAGATCTAATGAAGCCTCTCCTGGTTTTATTTCCCAGTGGTCCTTTTATGGTGTAAAAAGTCTTCTCTAAGATTCTGTCAATGATAACAACGTGCTTTAGCTTTAAGCTTTAATCAGAGTTCAGCATGTGAGTGCCCTGATAGTAATTCTTGCCAAATAGCAGCTATGTCCACATTTGTGGGACTGAGTTTGCTGTATTAAAGATTACATTGTACTTTCGAAGTAAGATTTAGATTATGAATTCTTAAGCAGACTTTAAGGGCAGAACATCAGCTGCTGGAAGGACATCTGGGTTTTGTTGTGCAGAGGCTGGATTTTTTAATATGAAACCAAAACACAGTAAAAACACTACCCTAGAAGGTCCTTAGCTCTTTTTTTCAGTGAGCTTGGGAACTAGATTCTAACAACCAGATTCAAGTTTGTTTTTCTAAAACATTATGGTATAAATCAGTAATTGCTATGATTTCCTGAAATTGTTGGGGACTGTGGGTAAATAGTTGAAACACATAAAGCATGGGTCACAAGCTGTGGGAATGTGATGTTGCAAGAGTCTCATCTGAGGTGGCCTAAGAAAGATCTCTGAAGTAAAAAACCCAAATCATTCCATGTGGGGGATGAGGGTGGCGAAAATGTCCTCGGGTGTTTCATGCAAAGATAAGTGTAGCATTGGCTACACTTAAAAGTGTTTCATTGGCTTCTCATTGGAGAAGCCAATGGTGAGAATGTTGCAGGACGATTTTGAGTCACGGTGTCATGGGTCATGTCTAATATAATATCAGAAAAGTTGTGGAATAGACTGTATGGAGAAAGATGTCATTGTAACTACTTTTGGGAGGTCCATGCCTCCCCCACAGCCCCACAGTGTTGACTTAGCAAAGGCTGCACATCTCTATAGTACTGGTTCCCCAGCGGCCCCCAGGGCCTTGTGAGGAGGACTGAGAGACTGGTGCTGAGAATTCTTAGCATTTTGAAGCAGCTATTTTTGTGGAATCTCTACAGTGTGCCAGGAACCATGCTGGAAGTGTGACACTGACTCTTTACAACTTCTCATGAGGGAGATGTTCTTATCATTATGTGAAAGATGAGGAAACTGGGGTAAGAGAATGCGAGTAACTTAGCCATGGCTAGCTTGCTGCTTGGCACTCTTGGATGGTACTAGATAACTACTCAGGTTAGTGTAAACCAGAAAAGAAGGGGGAGTTATTTGATAAAAATATTGAGATGTCTATGGAACTCTAGGGCAGGAATGTGGTGGGCCCCTGGGCAGGGTGGCATCTTTGGTCTGGGTTCTCTTGGGCCTAGGCAGCCTCTCTCTGCCCATCTGTCTCTGCCTCTTTCTCATGCCAGCTTCATAGGGTATCTGCACTGATCTTCGCTGTGTGACAGGACAGTCCTCAGCTTCCCAGAGCACAGCCTGTTACTGTTCAGCCAAAGGGCAGTTCTGACTCATCTCTTTGCTGACTCTCACTCCTTCCTTCTCCTCCCTGCTTGGCATCTCTCTGCTTCAAAGTCTCCAGGAAGCAACTCTGATGGATGAGGGGTCATAAACCTTCCTGAAAGGAACTTGGTTACCACTTTATGACATCTTTCCCCTTAATAACAGCTTCTTCAGACTAGAGAAAAATAATGAAGGTGATAAGAGGTTAGCTGTCTAATTATCTCTTGGAGAGTAGTTTTGCTTGGATTTGGGAGGTGTGGAAGTCCTGTGGGAAGACCCCTGGGAGGGTGGTCAGAGGGCTAGGTATCTAGTTAGGTAAGATTCTGGGTTTGTTTCTTAGCCTTACTCTGTTTCAGTTTTCTCATATGTTCTACGGGCTATTCCCTGTCTCCCTCAGAGGTATAATGTGTGGTGAATATTTGTGCCAGCATAGATGAGAAACTCTGTAAACATTAAAACATGAGATGATTTCATAATCATGATAATGGGTATTATTATTGATACTGCTAATATTATTATCATATGAACTGTAACAGGAATGATCAGTAACAAAGGAATAGTTGTTCTTAACATTGAATGAAGATAAGTAAAGAATTCAGGACACTGATAAATGACACGGTTTCCTTGAGATCCGAGGGTGTGTGGAGCGACCAGCCCATTTTGATGACTGTTTCTTGATGGTTGAGGTTGAACCTGCCCTTGCTGAAAACAGGTGCTTAAGTCTCCCTAACTCAATCTTCACTGCAGTCTATGAACCCTTTAACATTTAGAGTATGCATCCAGTCAATCTTATTGGCAGTAATAAACCATTTATGGGGCACTGACTGTGTGCATGTTATTTTCCTAAGCCCTTTGCAAATGGATAGTCTCATTTACTTCTGCCAACAACACTATGCAGCAGGGTTTTTTTTAAATCTCCATTTTATAGATGTTAAATATAAGCTTTTCAAACCTCAGTGTGCCTCAGAATCACCTAGAGGTTGATTTGGGGGCCTGCTATCAGAGTTTCTGATTTTAGTAGATAATCTGCATATCTAGTAAGTTCCCAGGTGGTGTTGGTGCTGCTGATCTTTGAGGCCCATTGGCTTAGAAATATTAGATAATTTATTCAGGAGAATAATACTATTAATTGGAAACCTAGGACTCAGATGAGGTCTGTAGGATTCTAAAGTCCATGCTTTAAAAGTCAGTTACCTGACTTTATTGCCTTTACCTTTACCAAGAGTTTGATCTGGTACAACTTAAGGGAGGGTAATTTAAGTTTGGTATTATTGGCAATATAAATAAATGGCTCTTGGTCCCGCCTATCCTCCTTCTTCCCAGTTAGGAAACTGCTTCTCTTTAAAGGAAGTATGGCTGCCATCCTGCCCTCACTCTGAAGGTGGAAAGAGCTACATTCAAATCATAGTCCCAGGCTAGGGAGGTAGAGGGCTCCTGCAGGCTGGACCCATTCTGTGGTTGGACAGGTGGCTTCAGGTACCAAGATTCTGATCTGAGAACCCTCACTCACCTGGCTGCTCTATGTGTGTGAATACTGGGGGTTAATAATAGTACTAGAATATTTGAAAATTTGTAGAAATAGCAGAGAACAAGGCTCTAAAGGTATTTGTACTTTTGTTTAAAAACAATTTTTCTATGTGCTTGGTTGCAGATTAAAGGCCTACCTGAAGGTTTTGCTCATCCAAAAATAGGGTCCAATTATTCAGTTAAGACTGTAGAGAAGACATGGAAAGCTCTGCAGGACTTCAAGGAGGGCAATGCCATCTTTACCTTCCCAAATACTCCAGTGAAGTGTGCTGGAGCCCCCCAGAAGATCATGTATTTATCAGAAGCCTACTTCAGAAAGGTATGCTTCCTCTCCAGCACAGAGGGGAGGGGTAGACAGTGACAATACAGTGATCACCAGAAATCCATGTTTGTCCCTACCATAGAATCTTTTTTATTTCTAAATTTTTATTCCATATGTACAGAATTATATAATTGGAAGTTTACAAGAAAAAAGAGAACAGTCACTCATATTCCATTTGCTCTAATAAAGCTCCTGTCATCAATTTGACATGTCCTTTTAAAGTTTTTTTACAATAGGCTTTTAAAGAATATGATTACCATTATACTGTACCCATCAATTCAGTTGTATCACATATTATTAGTCTTTATGACATACTTTTTAGTATGGGTATATAAAAATCCACTGAGGAACTATATTAGAGATTGTTTAAATACTTCCATATCTGTAATTAGACAATTAATTGCAAATCATTCACTTTTCTATATAATGCCATCCTCAACTGCTTCCAATCAGATTTAAGGTTTTGAATATTTTCTTGCTCTTGATATGCATTTTTGCAAATATAAAGGTAAAATGCCAATTTTAAAGGAAAAAAAATGTTCATATGAAACTTTGAACTTTTGTGGAAAGAGATTTTGGGTGGGGGTGGCTTTCTCAGCTTTTTTCCAACAACCTTTGTGTAAGGGTGGATGTTTGCAGCTCAAGTTATGCCTGGCATGAGATTGTGAGGACAGCTCTTCTCACCCACTGTGCCCATGTCTGAGATGGACACTTGGGTCATCAAAGTGTGGTTTGACTAAAGACACTGACAGGACTCAAAGAAGGCTGTGGTTCTATAAAGATACCCATGGGGAGAAGGGGTATGGAAGCTGGGACTGAAGAGTTGATGAATGTGCATTTGGAACTTGGCACTGGTCAGGACTCACCTGAGTTCTGTAAACTGCAACAACCCTGTAGGGTAGGGAATCAAGAGATAGCTCCAGTTATCATTTCTGACTCTAAGAAAGTTTATTCTGGGTCATAAGGGGTTGACACAACCTTTTGAGGTTCTTACCCACCTATCTTCTTCATATGGTGAGATCCAGGTAAGCGAATCCTAAAAAGAGTGGAATAAATGAAAGGGCAGGAGACCAGCTGTTTCTTCCATCCTGGGAGTTCCCTTTTCAAAACTCTTTTCTCCTACGTCTTGGAAGTCCTGGGAGGAAGGTTCTCTCTCAGGTGCCATAAGATCTTAGAATTTGAGAGAACACTGTCCTCTTCAGAACACCAAGGCTGTAGGAACTCTTTTATTCAGTGTTATTCCTACAGCACCCAGAACAATACCTGGCCAGTTCAAGGACTTCAGTAAATATTTATTGAGTGATGGAATCGTGAGTATATGAATAAGCAGTTCAGCTCTAATCTTTCTTTACCTGGACTTGACCTTTGCCTCTATTCTTTGGTGGAACAAACCTCCAACTCAAGGATGTGTACTTAGTTGTTGTGTCTTGGGCAGAAAATAAAAAAGAGGCATTGGATCAACCCACACCTTACCCTACCAGGTTACAGAGATGTAAAGATGCAAAAAAAAGCTGACAAATTTTCTTCTGAGGGTTTTAATTCTTATTTGGGTTTTTTTTTTTTTTTTAAAAAAAAACAGATGGCTAAAGTATGCTCTGGTATTGGTTGTTTGTCTTCTTTCATTTTTTTTAGACTGGAAAGCGATCCAAGGCCAATATAATTTTTAACACTGCTCTTGGAACAATTTTTGGGGTTAAGAAGTATGCAGATGCCCTGCAGGAGATCATCCAGGAGAGGAACCTCACTGTGAACTACAAGCAAAACCTCATTGAAGTCCGAGCTGATAAACAAGAGGCTGTTTTTGAGAACCTGGATAAACCTGGAGAGACCCAAGTATTTTCAGTGAGTGTCAAGGTCAAGGTGACTGCCTGAGGTCTTGTCTGCTGACTTGAGCGTGGATGTAGACTCTGGGTCCCTATCTACCATCATCACATGCCAAGGAAGAGTGGTTAAAATGAGCATCTGAGGGCATTGGGGAGGTGGAACAAAATGGGTTGGGAAGAACAAATTGGAAGAGGCTGTGTCAGTGGGAGGCAGAGGGTTTATCTACTAGTGGCAAGTGAACTTTTATCCCATTCCTTTGACTACTTTTCCTGGTACCACATCACTGGAAGTAGCCAAAAATATTTCACCACTTGATTGATTGATTAATTGATTGACTGATTGGTACTAGGGAGTAAACTCAGGCACTCACCACTGAGCCACATCTTCAGTCCTATTTTGTATTTTATTTGGAGGCAGGGTCTTACTGAGTTGCTTAGTGCCTCACTTTTGCTGAGTCTGGCTTTGTTGTTTTTCTTTTTTTTTTTTAAGTATTTATTTTTTAGTTGGAGTTGAACACAACATCTTTATTTATTTATGTTTATGTGGTGCTGAGGATCGAATCCCAGGCCTCACAGGTATGAGGCCAGCGCTCTACCGCGGAGCCACAACCCTAGCCCCTTGAGGCTGGCTTTGAACTCATGATCCTCTTGCCTTAGCTTCCAGAGTCTCTGGGTTTATAGGAGTCCATACCACTTTAGTTATCACCTAAAGAGTTGAGGGAGGGTTTCCTGAAATGCAGGATGCGATGGTAGTCGCAACTTGTGGCCTGTGAGAAAAAGCCCTTCTTGTGAGCAGGAAGCAATGCTGGGAGTACTTCAAGAGTAACAGGGGTGTCTTTCACCTGTGGAAGAGACTGTCTGTTAATGTCTTTCACTTGTGCATAAAAGTCAGCATTTCAAAGTCCTTCTTGAAGAATCTGGCAGAACTCCTACCTTTTCTGGAAAGATCTAGCTTTTCTTGTAAGGGCTTGGCCTTTATGTGTCTCAGTTTCTTCTGTGAAGTGTTGATAGTACTTTATAGAGGCATTACAAGGATTAAGAACAAGATGTAAGGGAACCTGGAGGAGAATATTAGTTTACACCATTCTGGCAAGAGCTGTTAGCAGTGAGGAAGCATTACACAGTCACATATTATTCATTCAGCATTTAAAGAATGAAGGGTTCCATAAAAAGGAATTTTGAGGTGAATCAAAGATCAGTCTTCTGAACATGAAAATTTCAAATTTTAAGTATTTTAGCTCAAAGTCTTTCTAAAATTGATTGCCCATATCTTCCCTTTCTTAAATGAAGTACACCGAATATCATTAAAAATGCTACTGATGACTCAGGGTCATAACTTCAAAAAACTTTTATTTGGAAAACTTTCAAATTTAGAGAAGTTGCAAAAATAAAAAGAACATAAAGAAAATTGTATAAGTTTTACCTGGATTCATTTATGGTGTTTTATGCCATTTGCTTTAGTTATATCATTTGAGCACTCTTTGTCTATCTATCTATACACCTTTATCAATTTTACCAAAGATAAGTTAGAGACATATCAAATATTATTATGTCCCCCTTACTCCTAAATACTTTAGTATACATTTCCTAAGTTCGGGGAATTTTATTGCATAAACATAGAAGTTCTCAACTTGGTAAATTTGGCACAGATACTTTTTTTTTTTTTTGGATACTAGGGATCAAACCTGTGGGAAGTCTGTTTTTTTGTTTTTTTTTTTTTCTAATTTCAAGACAGGGTTTAACTAAGTTGCCAAGGCTGGCCTAGAATTTATAATTTATAATCCTCCTGCCTCAGTCTTCCAAGTCACTGGGATCACAGGTGTGCACCACCACTCCTTGCACAGATACATCATTTTAATCTACTATTTATATGCATTTTTTTTTGTCAACTGACCCAATAGCATTGACTGTACTTTTCCTCTCCAGTACAGGACCTCAGGGACCTAATATATAGTTAAGCATTGCATTTAATTGTGATGTCTCTTTAGCCTCTTTTAAACTGGAACATTTCTTTGTCTTCTAAAACACTGACATTTTGGAATAATATAGTCCCCCTCTACCACTTGTTTAAAAAATACAATCTTCCACATTTTGGGTTTGACTACAGTTTCTTTTGATTAGTTTTGGGTGATTCTTTCTATACTGGACCATTTTATAACCAAGGTTGTGTCCTTCTAGGGAACCTCATTTGTATGCACACAATGTTCATTATCCTTTTATGGATGATGTGTATTTTGATCATCAAGTTATAATCCAGTTTTTCCATTGAATAGGTACTATTCATTTTCTACCCCGCTAATATGAAAGTCTGTAGGGGGATACCGTAAGACCATATAAACACTGTACTCATTAAAGTTCCCTGTAAACATAGTAACCATTGATGACACTTGCCTAGTCTAGTCTTTACTGTGGTGGTTAGAAAATTATTGCTTTCTAACTTCATAATTCCATCTCCTCTACCAGTAGGTTCTTGGCATTCTGTCATTAAGAGCCTTTCTTCTCTTAATTACTGGTATGGACTCATGAATTTTTATTACTCCCCAATAGTTTATAATTCATTTATGTCCTTAATTACTTTTTTTTAATTTGAAAGGAATCATTTATTGAACATTTTTTAAAATTTGAAATTAATGTACATTTGATTTTAAAAATTTTGCATTAGATTACCATAGATTTACATACAACCATACACTGAAAAAATACAAGAAAGTTTCTGATACAAAGAAACTCTTTCCTTTATTGTAAGAAAATAAACTTTCTGAAGCTAAAGCTAGCTTTTCAGTCGTGCAAAATACTAACACTTTAAGCAGAAAGTCTTTATTTTTAAGAGAAAGTAACATTTTTCTATATTTGACCTATATTTTAATTCTTTACAGTAGAACCAAAACCTCCTGAACCCCTTTCAGTGTCATTCAACACTTGAACTTCTTCTATATCTGGATAAAAAATCCGTTCACAAATGAGCTGTGCTATTCGATCACCTTTTTTTACTTCAAACTTCTCTTTACCAAAATTAAACAACACAACACCAATATTTCCTCTATAATCTTCATCTATGACACCAGCTCCTACATCTATGAAGTATTTTGCAGCCAGGCCAGAACGTGGAGCTATTCTTCCATAGCACCCAGAAGGAAGAGCTATCTGAATGTCTGTTTTCACAAGGGCTTTCTCCATAGGTGGTACTATATAATCATAGGCACTGTACAGGTCGTAGCCTGCGGCCCGCGCGGACCCCCGGGTCGGGGCCATGGCGTGCTCCGATAGTCGAACAAAGCGGAGCCGAAAGCCGCCATCCTCCGCAGGCCGGGCCCGCTTGCTGGGGGAAATGGCGGTTACTTCTTCAGAAGAGGGCATGGCAGCACCGGAGGGCAAAAGAAGAAGAGGAGACCGGGAAAAGCTGTCCTTAATTACTTTGGTGCCCAGATTTGGTCAGTGGGAGCCTTCCTGCCAGTTCCAGGATGACTTGTTTTTCAGAACTTTTGTCACAGGATGTCCCTGGTCATCTGGTTCTATCAGTTCAGAGTCATCATTTTGAAGGGCTCTCATATAGTGATGTTCAGAGGGCCAACTGGAATGAGAAGGGCTAGTTATCATTTTACAAAAGGGTCTGTGTTTTTGTTTTCATCTCTATCGTTTTTTTTAAGATTGTTGTGTTTTTTTATACCTTTATTTTTTTATTTATTTTTATGTGGTACTGAGGATTGAGCCCAGTGCCTCGCACATGCTAGGAGAGCGTTCTACCACTGAGCCCCAGCCCCAGTCCCTGTGTCATTTTTTTTAAAGTATTTATTTTTTAGTTACAGGTGGATATAATATCTTTTTATTTTATTTTTATGTGGTGCTGAGGATCAAACCCAGTGCCTCACTCATGCTAGGCAAGTTCTCTACCTCTGAGCCTCAACCCCAGCCCCCATCTGTATCATTTTTGCAGTTTTTGTGGCTCTCAGAAAATTGCAACTTTTAAAGATTGATTCCACTCTCATCAGCTCTTAAATGTTATAGACTGGAATATGAAAGAATCAAACTTGTTAAACATTTTATATAAAGTAAAAGTGAATAAAATATGGGAAAAAAGGATTATATCTGTAATACTGGAATAAGTTACCTGATATATAGTAGCTGATTGACAAATGTTGAATAAATACAACTCCCATTCATCCATCAAGGCTCAGCTCAAAGATCCCCAAACTGGGATCAGTATCTCTTTGTCTGAGTTCCCATAATACTCCCCTTACCTATTCCCTTGCAATGCAATTGCATTTATTGAGTTTCTGGACTGTTTCTCCAGCTAGGTTCTGTACTCAAGAAGGCAGGGGTGATGGGTCTTTTAATTATATATCCTCATTACCCACACTAGCATCTGGCAATGAATAGGTATTAGAAGAATGTTTGAGTGTACAGGCAGATGAACATGTGGAGAGACAAATAAAAGGAGTAAAGAATGGAAATAAAAAGTGAATGGGGGCTGGGGATGTGGCTCAAGCAGTAGCGTGCTCGCCTGGCATGCGTGTGGCCAGGGTTCCATCCTCAGCACCACATACAAACAAAGATGTTGTATATGCCGAAAACTGAAAAATAAATATTGAAATTCTCTCTCTCTCTCTCTCAAAAAAAAAAAAAAAAGTGAATGGACTGTGAGTGAGGTGCCCAAAGCATATACACTTGGGTGAAGGAACTTAACTTTGTAATTTGGTCTCTTTTACTTTGGTTCAACTATGCTCTGGATAGTTGAGTTTGCAGGTAGGGACTTGGATAAATGAATTGTTATTGTTCTTCTAGGAAATTTGTAAAGAAGGAAGATATTTGTGTCTCCTTTGATTGTAGGATTTTAGGTCAGCTATTCTTTCATTTCTACTCTTAATCTGAATTTTTAAAAATCCTCCAAAAATCTTGTAATCAGTGGTTTTCAATGCTGGCTGCAAGGGAATCACCTGGGAAGCTTTTGAAATGTGCTGACTCCTGGGTTTCCAGCAGAGATTTTCATTAATTGGTCTGGAGTGCAGAGCGAGGCCGGGGAGTTCAAAAATTCCCTAATGATTATAATGTTCAACCAGGATAGAGAACAAACACATAAAAAATTAAATGTACTCAATAGCCTAATAGTCTTGGATCCTCAACAGAGAGCTTATGAACTGATCTAGGTTTTCTATGGTTTTAAACATATAAACCTCTGTTTTATATCATAAAGTCTTAGAACTGGAAGGTAAGGAGTAAAGAGGGTGTGTGTGGGGAGAGCTTGTGGGGCTCTAGAGTGATTGAAAAGATGCAAATTTGGATGTTCTCCTTTTGCATAGTATGAAATGCTGCATGTGACACCGCCGATGAGCTCACCAGATGTCCTCAAGACAAGTCCGGTGGCTGATGCTGCTGGCTGGGTGGATGTAGATAAAGAAACTCTGCAGCACAAGAAATACATGAATGTGTTTGGGATCGGGGACTGCACCAACCTTCCTACGTCAAAGACCGCTGCAGCAGTAGGTAGGATACCCAGCTCTGTATCTCCTCTCAAACTGACGTCTCTCCAGGTCTCCATTGTAACAGAAACAAAAGTTTGGCACAAACAGTGTTATATTAATAATGGAAGTCCATTTTGTGGCCTAAAAATGACCTTGACCTCTCTGAGGCCGAAACAAGTTGTCAGTGAACCTAGTGTGGTATGAAGAAGTAAACTTTTGAATGCTTTGTCCCCCAAAAGTGTGATCTTGTCTGCTTTTTCTTCCTTTTTTCTCTTTTGAAAAATTTTTTTTTTGTCCTCAAAAAAAAAAAAAAAAAAAAAGAAAGGATTAAGGATTAAACCCAGGGACACTCTACCACTGAGCTTCATCCCCAGCCCTTTTTATTTTATGTTGAGACAGGATCTCACTAAGTTGTTGAGGCTAGCTTTGAACGTGTGATCCTCCTGCTTCAGCCTCCAGAGTTGTGGGGTTAGAGGTGTGCACCATAGTACCCTGCTTTATCTGCCTTTTCTAGGTCAGAGGAGTTGTTTTTAGGGAAAGAACACTAAACTTTCTAGCTCTCTAGAATTCTGGTACTTCTTATATTGCCATACTCAAATCCCTGGCCTTCTGGGCCCCTGACACCAGACAGGCTGGCTATTATTCTCTTGCCTGAAACACCATAAAACTGGAGAAGCATTTGTTTCCCTAGAAAACACATGCAAGTCAATGAAAGCTTGCAGACCAGAAAATTGTTCTGTTAAGACAAACACAGTGGAGCATGCCCTGATTGGTACACGATTAAGGCCTCAGCCTGGAAAACTAAATTCTTCACCTCCATGTTCTGCTCTAGCAGTGATGGGGAGAATTGCCTTTTAGATTGTGTCCTTTACAGACAGGAACTGTCTTCTCTGGATGTTATAAAACATGGACCTCCCTGCTGATATGTATGGTTGCATTTGTGTGAATTCCACACTTGTGGAACATACTGTGCTACTTTCCCTTCTTCAACATTAACCCCATTTTGTCCCACCTAGAAAAAACTTAATTATATAATATGTATGTATAATCACACAATAATAATATAATTCTAATATTATAATATTAATTAATATAATTATAGATAAGCTCTAGGTTATGATTTCCAATCTATTTTAATACACCTGTGTCATTTGCATTGAAATATCCACAGAATTGAAAACTTGGGATGTAATGGGTTAAGATAGACTTTCTAAGAAAGCCTCTGAATGTCTTTTTCATCATTAGAAGTAATTTGATAGTTTGAGATTTTTAATTTCAGAAATCTGAAATTTTTAATTTCAGAAATCTCAAACCAATGAAGAATTTGAAGGCAAGTATAGTGAGTACTCACATGCCATTTAGGTATTAACCAATTATTAATGCTTTTGACATTTGCTTTGTCACTCTTGGAACTTTTTTGCTGAGTCACTTGAAAGCGCAGTTTAGATACGGTAATATTTTACTTTAAGTACTTCATTCTGAATCTCCTAGGAGAAAGGACATTTTCCTCCATATCTATACAAGACTATTATCATGTCCAAGAAATTTAACATTACTTAATGAAATCATGTCATATGTATAATCCAGTTTGAATTTTTCCAATTTTCCTAAAAATGTCCTTTGTAGCTCTCCCATCCCCTTTAAGTCCTGTCAAGGACCACATGCTGCACTGGTTGTCACGACTCTCCCATTTCCTTTCATCTGGAACAGGCCTTCTGAAATTTGTATTTTTGCTTTAATGACATGAGCAGTTTTGAGGGGTCTACACATCTAGACTGGTTATCTTGTAGAATATCCCACAATTTAGAAATTGTCTAGTTGGTCTAGTTTTTTTTTTTTTTTTTTGATTGAACATGGGGCCTTGGCCCTGCTTGGCAAGTTCTCTTACTGCTGACTTACATCTCCAGCATTGTCTAGTTGTTTTCTTATGGCTAGATTCAGGTTAAGTGTTTTGGTGGGAATCTTTGTATCTCCTCTGGCCCTGCAGGAGCCATTATGCTAATTTTGTCTTGTTTTTGGTGAAGCTTGATCTTATCATTGGGTTAATTAAAGGATATATACCTCCCACTTCCTGTGGCCAAACCACCTTTTTTCTTTATAATTTATATGTAGTTTGAGGGGCAATACTTTTAATACATTCACTTAATGTAAACCTACCGCATTTGGTAGAAATACTGTGACTAGAGGCCCAGATTATGCAAAATTTGGCTTATTTCAAACCAACCAACCAACCAACCAACCAACCAACTAACCCACCAACCAACAAACATGCATTTAATTCAATATTTCAGGTAGATGGTATTAAATATGGTTGAACAAAAATTACAGTTTGTTTTATAATGGGCAAAGCCTTGCTCTCAGGCCTGTCTTCCATTGGCTCAGCTTTTATATTCCTCCAGCCATGAAGAGATCATCCCTGTTGTTTTTATATCTGCTTTCTTAGAATCTGTATTCTATTATATGGTTTTTCCAGATCTATTGTACAAATCCACTCTTGGTTTGTATTTGGGTTCTTTTCAACCCATTTCATATCTAACAGTATTGCAGTGAATGCTGCTCTTTGTCATTTCACATCTGTGAATATCTATTCCAGCTTTCTCCAAGGAGGTTGGCATTTCTCATTAGGTTCCCCTCTGCTAGGCCTCTGAGTGTCCCGAGGCAATGTTCACACTTCTTCTGCAGTCATTCCTTTCCAGACTCTCCAGACCATTATGCTATTGTGAGTAAGACCTTGTCTTGCTGTGTTGAATGTGGCTTTCTTGGGGCTTCCCGCCTTTCTCTGCTTCTCTCTGCCCTAGGAGTCTCCTTTAATTACCTATAGCACAGCACAGCCAAGACTAGGATGTGGCACTTAACAAAGATTAACTGAGGGCTTTGGCATAACAGAAGGAGGTTGTAATACAGGGAAGAGCACAACTCATATTTCCCTGTGCACTTGCACATTAAGCCTGGGCATGGAGTATGGCTGCTTACTGGGGCCATGGGCCTAACCTCTCTGCTATGACACCAACTGGCCATGTTGCCCTGCAGCAGGGGCCTCCTCAGATCTTCTCAGTATAGATTCCAGACTCCTTATGGCCTGAAAGACAAAGTTTTCCAAAAGGGAAACATTATATTTAGAAATATTGCTAATATTGAATATTGAATAGTGGGCAATGAATAGTGGGCAATTTAATAGTTTTAAGTGGAGTTGTTTCCTTCTCTTTCTTTCTCTTTCTCTTTTTTGAACCTCTTTATTCTAGAGAAAAAAGAAAATCCTCATTGCTTTTTTAATTTGAGCATCATCAAACTAAACTTTTCAGGCCAAGTAGAGCCTGCTGCCTATTTTTGTACAGTTGACTAAGAACAGTTTCGATGACAGAACAATTAATGATCAGTTCAATAATAGATAGCAATAACGTTTTACTTATTCTAAAAAAAAATTCATTATTCTATTAGTGAGAATTAGTAGACCTGTATTATAAAAATTTATTATATTTTGAATTTCATCAACAAGATTTTTGTGGAAAGTTGCTTTTCTTTTTTGTTATCTAAAATCTTTGCTTCTTGTGTCTTGACTCACAAGATGTAAATATTTTCTTTACAGAAAAAAATTTCTGATCCCTAATTTCCTGATTAATGTTACTTTAATGAGAGCTTTGTGATATAAAAGCAATGTATGTTTCCTTGAAAGTAAACCTAATGTTTTATCTCTGGGTACTGCTCATTTCTTTTGGTAGTCTTAATTATTTAGAATTGAACACACAGTGGGATTAGATGATATTAAGTAATTATTGCTAATATTTTTGGGTATAAAAATGCTATTGTTCTTGAGTTAAAACCTCATACCTATTAGAGATACATAGAAATATTTATGGTGAGTTGGTATGCTGCCTGCTATATAAATATTACATGTGAGCGTGCACATGTCTGTATGTGTGCACACACACACATCATTTACAATGGGTTAGATGAAATAAGAATGGCAGTGTTCAAACATTCTCATAATAAAAAAGGCAGCTGTTCTGCTCTTGTCATTGCAAAACAAAAACACACATCTGTAGGTATGCTAAGAGAGAGAGGTCAATGTGTAGATGGATGCATATAGATCTACATCTATATCCATCTGGTCCAGCCTCACCCTGCAGAGTGGAAGTCCCAGTGTTTTACTGAGTCAGATATATCTGGGGCTGCCAATCTAGGCTGTCTGTGAGCAGGGACACAGGGGTATCCTGGATGGCTATGAGACACAGGGACACGCAGACCAAGCTGACAGCCATCAGCCCCCAGGAAGAGAGGGAACAGGGTTGGAGTAAGACCATCTTTATAATCCTGTTGAAGATAGTTGGTGCTTTAATTTCTAAACAATAGAGACTTCCCTGTGGACCTCTGATGAACTGAAGGACCCTCCCCCATCCCCACATACATACCTCTGCCTCTAGTAATAGAACTTCAAGATCTAAGGAGGGTCTTGTTTCACTCTAGGGTGATGGGAAATAGAATCTTCTTAACTTGTTTACATTAAAGTCATTTGCAAATTAGTTTTCATGGAAAATCTAGACACTTATATTTTTTTCTGACTTTTCCTTTTCTCTTATAGCTGCCCAATCAGGAATACTTGATAGAACAATTTCTCTGATTATGAAGAATCAAATACCAAAGAAGAAGGTTTGTATACCTTGCAATAATCAGTCTCAATTATCACCTTCTGTTCTGTGTGAAAATGGTGTTTTCCCACAATTTTGCCACTTTCTTAATTAGTTTCTTCAATACAGGTACTTTAGTTTTTTGCCTTCAGTACTGTTTTGTGGTGACACAACATATTTTTCATTATACAAAAAATTAGGATACACACACACACAAAGAAAAGAAAAACATTGTAACTACTCAGAGCAAATAATAAATTCTGTAGTTTGTATATAATCCCATAAAAATGCTACTTCTCAGTCCTATAATCTCATTTCAATTTTAGTATGATGGCTATACATCCTGTCCACTGGTGACTGGCTACAACCGTGTGATTCTTGCGGAGTTTGACTACAAAGCTCAGCCACTGGAAACCTTCCCCTTCGATCAGAGCAAAGAGCGACTTTCCATGTATCTCATGAAAGCCGACCTGATGCCTTTCCTGTATTGGAATGTCATGCTAAGGTAGGTGCATCACCTGGTCCTGGCGTGGAGGGCACCCCTTTTAGCAACTGCACCACCTTATGTAGGGTCATGATTTCAAAGAGGCCTTGCAGCTTCCACCTAAAATGGGATTTGTTAATGGACGCCCCCCGCCCCCCACACCTGCCTCCATGCTGTGCCATTTCTCATCAGTGATGGCAGCCCTGAAGGATTCAGAGCCTCAGCCACATTAGAAAAAGAGGGATATCCTGGATGAGGAAAGGGGTTGGCTCTATCACCCACAGGGAATGCTGCCTCTTCTCTTCATTATTGGCAGTGAACATGACTTCTGACTTTCATGTTTTGGTCTTTTTTTGTTGCTGGGTGAATAAATAAAAACAGTAAATCATTTTCACATGCTACTTTACTTTTGTTTTTATTATGTTTGGGGAAAAATAAAAGTGATTAGGAGCACAGACTTTGGAGTCCTGCCTCTATTTGAATGATGCATCTGCCACTTACTAGTTTTATGTCCTGGGTAAGTTGCTTAAACTCTGTGTTTAAGTTCCTTATCTGCCAAAAACTGCCCATCTCCTAAGATGGTGATTAATGCGATAACATATGAAAGAGCCAGGTAACAGTAGGCATGTAATAATAGTAGAGTAATACAAATTAATAATTCATATTCCAAAATTTGATGATCTTTTTTGACTTTTCCAAACTCAGATAAGATTGGTAAGTCAGGATATCCAAATCAGTGGTCATCAACCAAGAATAATTTTGCCTTCCAAGGGACATTGTTGGTTGCCAACAACTGGAGGGATGTTACTAGCATGTAGTGGGCAAAGGCCAGGATACTGCTAAGCATCCTACAATGCATAGGATAGCCCCCTGTAATAAGTAATTATGTGGTTAAAAATTTCAATATGGCTAAGGTTGAGAAACCCTGATCATTTAATTCATGAGCAAGTGAAAGCAGTTTGCATGTAATGGAGGCTTCATACAGGTTTGCTAAATTGAGTCAGCATGTCCAGGCTCATACTATAAGTCAATGTCAAAGCTAGGACTGGAAGTATATTTGTCTTCTAGTTGTGGGATCTTAGTGGACAAATCTTACTTTGTGTGGTGATAAAAGAATGCTCTGTGAGCATCGTCTCTCTTTTAACATCCTAAAGGCTGAAGTCATCCTATCTCTTTTACCTCAAGTAACTTCTATATTATTTCTTTTTAGGGGTTACTGGGGAGGACCAGCCTTTCTTCGGAAATTGTTTCATCTGGGTATGAGTTAAGGATGGCTCAATCTTGCTCTCCTTGGATGGCTTCTATATCAGAATTTCAGATGCTGATTGACCCAGAATGGAATGAAAGACTAACCCTATAAAGAGTTTCTTGCTGGATGATGGTAACTTTTTCAGTACCTCAGAACAGCCACTATGTGGGCTGCCCAGGGTGGACTTGGTTGTTTGGAAATATTCAAATGAAAGAATAATAGACTTCTATTTTCTAAATAAAATTTTGTCATTGATTGATTTTTCTGAGATATTTCTATCTTGAACAGTAGGAATGAAAACTTACAGCATTTGGAAGAGAAAAATGGTGTTGGTAGAATAGTTTACTGCTAATCTACCATGTGTATTCAATTTATGACTTCACAGAGCCTATTCAGGGTCACAGAAGAGTCATTTTTAGGGGAAAAGATTGTTTCAAACACAGTGCATGGCAGCCTTGACTCTTCCTGTTTCAAGTCAATGTCAAAGCTAGGACTTGAAGTGGGTTGTCTTCTCCTAGTCATGGGATCTTTCCACCTTAGCAGATAATCTTACTTGTGTGATGATAAGCATGCTCTCTGAGCATCCTGGCCTCTCTAGAATCTTAGCTTTGACATTGACTTGTAGACTCAGCAGGTGGACTGGTAGCTCAGTTGCCAAGGTCTCGGCTTGGCACCAGAATCACGAGCCACCACACACCTTTGTAGGTTCAAACAGCAATTCTTTATTCCCGCTCTCACAACGCCTCCACACAGGTCCAGGGGCAATCTTGTTCTGCCGTCTGCCCGCACAATTCACCTACTCCACGAGGCTATCTCCAAATCCCATTTTAATCTCACGAGAACTCAACGGGAACAAGCAGCAGGAACACCCTAATCCCAGCAATAATCTTCAACCTCCAACTTCCCTAAAACCCATTGTCTTAAACTGGCAACGCCTTAAACTCAAGGAGCCGGTTACTTCCTCAAACCTGATCAGCTCTAAACCCCATCCGCCTTGGTCCTTGAGCAAGGTCAACTTATTAAAGCATGCATGCAATGTCCCATCGAATGTCCTCTAAACAGCATGGGGTACGCTTGGCAAGGAAATTTCGATGCGTCATTCCTACTTGACAATGGCCCTCAGCACTCAGCTGCTGCCCTTCTCGGTCCTCTGTGCTCTTTGTGCTTTCTCCAACTAGTGATCGAACACTACGGGGCATGAGGACCAGCACATTACTTGGGATATGGGACTCCTATACTGGGAGATTTATGCTCCGAGAGTCCCCATCAGCCTGGCTGAAGGTTTCTTAGAACTAAACTGTGCTGAATCTGAGATTTCCTGCTCAGTTCTCCTTCCTTCCGGCTCTCCTTTATCAGGATTTCAACATGCATCATGGTCTGAAAGCACACCCCACCTTTTCCCATTCTTTCTCCTTCCTCCTTCACCAATGTTTCTCCCACTAAATCTTTTGCAAATCTGATTCTCTCATGGCACCTGTTTCTTAGAGAATGTCCACACAGTGAGTTGGGTTAGAGGAATCCTGATGCATGTGGCAAGCATTTGCTCAATTCAGCTCCAAATTTGGTGAAAAAGGTTGCAAATGAGTTTGCACTGGAGATATTACAGGAAATATTTCAGTTTACTTAAGTGCAGTGGTAGCTTCAAAATAATTTGCTCCCAATCCATTTATTGTGGAAGTTTAGTTTTAGTTTAGTATGGCTTCTTGAAGCCATGTACATTTCATATTTATAAATGCTCCCAAGGGGAAAGACCTAACAGTCTCTATAATGCCTTATTTTTATAACACTGATTTCTGCATTTTCAGAGAATGGGGCTGCAATTCCTGGGCATGACTGAAGCTCTGGGTGGAGTAACTTTGAAATCCTTACAGAGTTAACTCAAGCCTCCTGGGTCTGTTTATGACAATACATACTACCTTCAAGCATCAGGGAATCACTTCAGGGAGCACATTATTCCAGACAGAATTAATTGCGAAGGCTGGAGGGAGCAGTGATCACTGTTGGTCAGCACATGGGTCTCTGCTCTTATTTCTCTGAGCTAGGAAAGATAGAAATTGTACTGAAGTCCAGAAAAACTTAGTCTCTGAAATCTCATCACCTTATCACAATGTGGGGTTTTTCCAGGGAGAGGTCTTCCCTTGGGACTGCCTTTAAAATTAGGAGCAGAGTGCAGGAAAAGGGGTGGGACCAGGGTCGGGGTAAGGGTGGTGGTTTCTCTGAGGGTGGTGCCTCAACATAGGGGTGAGGTTGAAGCTCTCACTGAAAGATGTCTTCAGAGTCCCGAAGTGACAAAGTGCTGGGCCTACTGACTCAAGGAATTCCCTTTAAATTCTTCACCACTGTCTTCCTTGTCACACATTCTTTTAAAAAATTTTTATTAATGCATTAAAGTTATACATAATAACAGGGTTCATTGTGACATAATCATACATGATGGAATATAATTTGCTCCATTTCATTCCCCAGTTCTTCCTCTTTCCCTCCCCTCATCCCTCCACCTGTTCTCCTTCCTCTACTCTGCTAGTCTTCCTTCTATTGATTTATTTATTTTTAATTGGAGCTTTATAGATAGATATAATAAAAGTGGAATTCAGTGTGGTACATTCATATGCATACATAGTATAATCTTCTCAGTTTCATTCTGCAATTTCTTCCTTTTCCTTTCCTCCTCTCTCCCCCTTAATTCCCTTCCTCTACTCTACTGATCTTCCCTCTGTTTTTATGGGATCCACCTCGCTTTTTTCCCCTTTGCTTTTTTCTTAATTCTCACTTTGATGTCTGCCCTGGTGAGCTGTGGTGTAATAATAGACCTGAGGTTGAAATTCAGGAACTGCCAGGGTATGGGGAAGGAAGCTAGACTTCAGTTCACTGGGAGAACACAGGGTTTAAGATGTAGAACATTTTTTGGAATTAACATTTGAAATGTTTTTTTTCCCCTCATGTCTAAATTTTTTTTTTTTTAGGAAATTTAAAGAACAGAGATCAACAAAAGGAATAAAAATGCCTCCCAAATCTACCATCTTGTTGTTACAACTAATAATGTGTGGGCATATTTTTCTTTTTCAATCTAATGTTGTTGCATATAAAGTTATTAGAAAAAAATTGAATCATATTGTAAGTGTTGCTTTATGATCTATGTTTTATACTAATATGCACTGAGGGCTAGTGGTTGATTGTAGAGAGGAAGCGATTAGTGTGCAGTTACTTGAGGAGCTTAGGGCATGTGTGCCAGCTGAGACAACTGCTAATTAATGAGCCCAAGAAAGGTATGTACCTAGTAGGGTATTGATAAAGAGCTGGCACTAGGTAATTTTCACATATGATTCTTGCAACAACCCTGTGAATGAAATTATTAAAGACAGAGAATATTTTTTTTTTGAGGAAGGTGATTTTGGTAATGCAATGCTTAAAAGTGGCTCAGTTGATTAAAAAATTGCATTGGATAACTCTGGTCTGATTCTAAAAGAAATTCTCCCTTTCATTCCATAAGACCACAGATATTCATTCAGGACAGAAGTATTTTGATCATCTTAGGGAGGGAAGAAACAACAACAACAACAACAAAACAGAAAAAAAATTTTTGGGTAAGATGAGGGCTTCTGAATAAATTAATAAAAACTAGGTCGGTCAGGTTTGTTAACTGACAAGGAACTAAGGAAATTGCTTATCTATATGCTGGAAGAAGTCAAGGTTAATACTTGGCAATAGATAGGCAGAAAGGTCCCAAGATGCAGTTGAGAAAAAGATGGGTGGTGAGACAATTTTCTATCCCAATATTGAGTTTTAAAAAGTAACTTCCCCAGTGTATAATATGCCACAGACAACCCTAAATTAGTATAACTTTCCATATTTGCATGTAGTGGGACTCATATGATTACATCCCTCAGGTACAATCTGAAAGCACTCCCAGGCCTGCAGGGAACAGAGGCTGAAGAAGGGCAAGGGCTGGGGGGCTGTGCTAGGCATGAGCTGGGTTTGGATCTTTTTGAGGGATGACCCAATGGAACAGGCTTTAGAGTTACTAGAGCCGAATGGTGTCCAACTCAAGTGCATTAATTCACCATTTCCTCACTGGAAAAGAGGCTCATGATATCTTCTTTATAGAATCGGTAAGAGGATTGAATAAATAAAGGTAAGGCTCTTAGCAGTTTGGCAGTTAGTAGCAACTTTGTGGTTGACTTTAGGAGTAATGAAATTTCTTCCCAGGCTAAAAATTCCTGCCTGTATGGCAGATATGGAACCATGACAAGGCTTTCCAGCATTTTTTTTTTGCCAACTGAAGGGTGGGTGGATTCTCTTTTTTTTGCTACTACCCCACCTTTCTATGTTATTTCAACAGACTTTCAGACTTGAAAAATCACTAGTGTCACAGATTAATTAGCCAGTGTTGGGAGTGGCCAAGTGCAGGTCTGGATCCAGCCATTCTGGGTCTGAATCTCAGTTTTGCCTCTCACTAACTGTATGACCTGGAGGAAGTCATTTAAACTCTCTGGGTCCCTGTTTTACTGAGTTATTGTGAAGCTCAAATATGACAAACACTTCTTACATATAAGAAATGCCAAGGACTGTTCAAGGTATAAGCTATTATTAATTGCTGTAAGTCAATCAAAAGTTGACTGGTATAACTACTATTAATTGCTTTAAGTCAATCAAACGTTGACTGGTTGGTCCCTTGTGATTTACAATGATCTATCACCATAAATATGGATGTATTCCTTTCTTGGAGGAGTTCTGGGCAGCTGGTCTGATTCATGGTGCATGGACTTCTTTTTTTTTTTTATTGTTGGTCGTTCAAAACATTACACAGTTCTTAATACATCATCATTCACAGTTTGATTCAAGTGGGTTATGAACTCCCAATTTTACCCCGTATTGCATGGACTTCTTGTAGATTAGCTTACAGAAGGTCCTTTGTATTCAGTCTTTCTTTATATCAAATTATTCCATCTGTCTATGGTATATAAATACATACCATAGGAATATATTGGATATACTATTGAGTATAGAAGATCAGTGAGCAGAAAAATTCCTTATTAATTGTTTCCATAAACATTTCATTTATTGAGTATCTAATACATATAAGGCCCTTGGGATTCATAGATGAAAGTAAGTTCTGCTTGATTATTTATGTGTCTATCATAAGGATTACCATGATGGATGTTACAGTATGTTCCCATTGTATTCAGAGTATGCTTCTGACATATACCAGGCATTCAGAAAAATATCCAGAAGCATTACTTAGGTGCTGAATTAGTTAGG